TTTCAGTACAAAAATTTCTTGAAAGCATAAAAAAAAAACAGCGGTCTAAAGCTGTTCCAAACGAAGCCTTAGTTGGGGATGAATGATTTTTATAGCCCAAGTCAATTCATGTATATGTAGGTGCATGAAAGGGATAAACGTTGGGTTAGGATATCCTAAGCCAAATATGGATATGATAGGTTTCTTGATTAGTAGATTTAGATTAAGATTAGTGTAATCTATGATTAATTAATCAGCTTTTATGATACACTCATGTTAAAATTAATCATGATATTCTCAGACAAATATCTTCAAGGCTTGGTTGATTTTTTTTTTCTTGGAAAGCTTTGATCTTCACAATTTATAATGCATAAACACAAACTTAACTTTAGAATGTCTCATATTTGGCATCAAGGAAATATTTGTGTCGATTGGGTGGCCAAAGAAGGGGCCAACTCTTTAATTGTATACACTTCACTTTAACGTTGATTCTTACTTAGGAATTCTCAAGGGCATGAACAAAATGGATATTTTGGGTATTTCTAATATTAAAAAATAGCCATTGATCGACCTCTATTCTTTGTTGCTATCCTATTTCTGATATCCTTTTGTTAGTGCTGATGCCTTTTTGTTAGCTCCTTGGTGTTGGTTCTCCTGCTATGTTATCTTGTTGTTGGTTCTGCTCAGCTTCCTAATGGTGGACTTTGGTTTTCCTGGTGTTGTTGGAGTTTTGATATTTAGCTTATTTGTTTTGTTTTGTTGGTTTTGGGGTGTAGATGGGCCAGATGTGTTTCTTAGTCTAATGATTCTCTATGCCTTCATGTTGATGTTGGGTATTGCCTCACCCCTGCTAGTATTTATAGTCTTCAGTTGTTTTACTTATGGTTCTCTAGATCCTTTGCTAATTTGGTCCTTGAGCTTTGGCATCGATCCCTTCTGGTTGGGAATTTATGGACTGCTTTATGGGTGCTTATGTGATCTGAGTTTCCTCCTGGCTTCTTGATGTTGGGAATTTTTTTCTTCCCTAAATATTGATGATGTTGTTCTTTATTTTATTTTGGTTGATGTTTTTGATACTTTCATGGATGGTGGTGGTGGTAGTCTTGATGTTATTCATTACACTTCTCTTCCTGGGTTTCCCTTTGGTGTTAGTGATTAGGAATTCTAGGAGGTTTAATAGGTTTGTTTTTCTAGTATTTCGTCCTTTTGTTTTGACTTTTTTTGTGTATTGTTTTGTAGGATATTGTGCTTTTATCCAGAATGCTCTTCATACCTATCTATCTTTGGCTTTGGGGATGTTTCATCTTCAATTTTTTGGACATGGCTTCTTGCTAGCTAAATGCGTATTTTGATTATTTTTGTAACTTAGGTTGGAATCAAGGTCCCTAAAGATTTTTTTTTTCTTTCTGTTGTAGCATTTTTAGTAGTAGTGGGCAAGGCAATGGATCATTTTAGGGGGACACACACACACACAAAATGTAGACATTTGTCACTCCTTTTGAGGAAAATTGTGTATTCATGTTCTTGTTGATGACCTTGAATTTGTTTATTTAAAGATTGATTTTTTATGAAGGAGATTGACTATGTGATTAAGATAAAGAAGGAAATGAAGCCATAGTGTCAAGTGGTACAAGTTGAGGAAGAATATATGATTACATTGATGATGGGATGTTATTGATAGTGTTTTTGCCAACTAATCTTTTTTTTAATTCATTTATAAATTGGGACATCATGCCCAAAACGATGAAAGTTAGCACAAAATACTAGATCCCTTTCAACCATCAATTTTTGCATATAAATACAATTCTTAGAATTAATTCATATATTATTAGAAGATTGCTGGGTAAAATCAACGTTAATAAGCACTATAGCAATCGAAGGCGTTATTTGTGCAATAGTAGGGGCATCAATAAGTAGAGGTTTCCCAAATAAAGAAGCTAGAGTAAAATGAATCTTTTAGTAAAACAGATCATGAAGCCTGTGGTGTAGAAATGAACTCCACATTATAGCTAGGTGCAAGTGGACATTCACTAAAAGATCAACGTTCTGAGTCCATTTGCTAATCCTCATGAAGAACCAACGAGATCACCTTTTGTTGAGTTCTTCCCATAGGCCAGGAAGCATCTGGGGAATAAAACTCTTCCTCACAATTTCTCTTGACTCGATTTCTGGTGCCATCTCTTGACTCGATCTCTGGTGCCATCTCATCTCGTGATCATTGTGGTATATATCTAACGATAATTATTGTGGTTTACAAAGTTTGAATTTTTTTATTTAAAGAGCACTCCATAGAAATATGATTTTGCTAATCCTCATGAAGAACCAACGAGATCACCTTTTGTTGAGTTCTTCCTATAGGTTAAGAGGCATCTGGGGAATAAAACTCTTCCACAGTATTTCTCTTGACTTGACCTATGGTGTCATCTCATCTCATGATCAATGTGGTATCTAATGATCATTATTGTGGTTTACAAAGTTTGAAATTTTTGCTTAAAGAGCACTCCATAGAAATATGATTAGAGATTTCTCAAATTAAATTATACCCTGATACATCAATAATATGTGTGTGTGTGTGTGATATTGAAATATTTGTTAAATTATATGGTATGATTACAAATAAAGTATTATTCAAAATTAAAAAAAAAACAACATAATTTTTTCATATCTTTTTGAAATAAAGATTTCATTTTTGTTTAGCTAAGTACATTAAGGATATTTGCATAACTATATATTATTAGAAATTGTGAAAATTTTAAGAAAAATATTAATATTAGTACAAAGTTTTTAATAAATTACATAAAAAATTAAAAATATCACTAGCCATTTTTTTAGTTGTCATATTCTTAGATAATCTATATTTACAAGTTACAATTTCAATAGTGCTAGTTATTAATTATTAGTAAATTTGCTTAAGAAAATTCAATTTTTAGTCATTGAAATCAAATTGGGTGGGTCCACTTGTGAAAGCTCAAGTCTACCATCAATCAATCAAAGGAAGCCTTCCAAAAATTTTCATAAAGTTTTAAATTATTCCTCTTTTAAACTAAAAACAACATAATAGGTGGTCACCTCATCAAAAATATGACATAGAAAATATTAAATAAATAAAATAAGTGCTTTTGGAGCTTGGAAGCGGCGATTCATGGCTCTTTGTGCGTAGTGCAGTAATATGTTGGTGCAATTAATTTAGGTTTTCTTCCTCTTTTCTTTTAATTTTCCCAACTTACTAAAAACTTGGAAGGTTTGAGGCTTTCATCTAAGTTAAATTTTTCATTATATATATACTTTTCAAATTAAGCTGCCAACAAAGACATATGAGTAAGGTTTCGTTTGGGACAAATTTTTTATTCGTTTGCTTCTCATACCGCAACCACAATTTCTATTTGATCATTATTTTTTCCGTTGCTTTTAAAAAAATTTGCACTAAAAAGTTGATTTCTTCAATAACTTTAAAAAATTACTTTCTCTATAATAATTTTACATAGCAGTAAGAAAGTTTTTCCAAATAAAACATAAAATATGATAAATTAATATATATACATAAATGTCAATTAATTTTTTATGATTATTAATGTATTATTCTATTTTTTAATTATTTATATCATCTTAACATCATCTTATTGTGATATATAAAAAAAAATTAAGTGATTTATATAAATATGACAAATTCTATGTATTTAAGAATGTGATGCATAAATATTTATATTTATTTATATACAACTTAAATATTTAAATTAAATAAAAATAATAAAATATCACTAATTTTAACTTAGTTAATATAAAGTACATATTATCATAAATTTATTTTGAATGTAATGTGGAAATTAAAATAATATAAGTAAATATAAGAATACAGGTGTTAGATATTACATAAATAAGTTTATAATATGTATGTGAATCCTTAATGTAAGTTTTGTAGAAGAATTATTATGATAGTAATTATTAAACAATTAGATGGAATCTCAATAAAGACAAATTCACACACACATGCATGCATCATATATGCAAGCTTCGAACATAAGACGTCTTGACTAACAACCAAAACTCCCAACCAACATATATTAAAATGAGCTGCTAATAAAGATAATATGTTAATGTAGCATAGAAATATGAGCTATTTATTGCTTAGAGGAGTGCACAAAACGTCGATTTATTAATGATATTGTTTATTTGAATTAAAATTATTAAAAAAAAAGTGTTCCCACCTCATTCAAGATGAGTATCAGCTGCAGCTCTTGTTTTTATTTTTTTCCAACAAACTAAATAAATATTTTAAGATTAAAAAATTAAGATGTATATTAATGCAGTTTTTATTTCTATTTGATGCATTTTTTTGTCTCTTGAATTACATTCAAGCCTAGTCTACTTCAAATAAGCCAGACTTGCACAATTAACCTAACTTGCACATTGCAAATAATCTTTTTCCCATCCAACGTACAAATCATTCTGACTAATTTACACCAACAGTCAAGCTGAACAAACCGGAGAAATTATTCTGTGCAGAGATCAGACGTAGAACGTCGTCCGGAGACCAACCAGAATGCACCACATCGGCAGTATAGAGCAACGGTGCTGAGCGTGGTACAGAGCAAGGGTGGCATGACACATTCTGGTTGGCCTCTGAACGGCTTTCGGCATCCACACAAAATAATTAATCGGGATAAAGCCACCTAACTATAATTTTAAAAAAAAAATCAGAAAAAACTGCTTCACCAAACAAACAAAAATGGGTTGGGTCAGTGTTAGCTACGTCTCTTTTGTTGAGGCCCTCTCATTGGAATCTCAATTTAGTATATTTACATGAGATGAGTTGAAGAAGGGCCACCACATGGCTAAAATAATGAAGCTTGTTGGCCACTAGGGAGACCACTCTAAATTAATTATTCCATGCTAAATCATCCATCCCCCCTTCAACCATGTGCTTATAAGTAAACGTTTGGTGAAACACCTAAGCCTCCAAGAAAACAAAGAGAGAGAGAGAGTAAAGCAAAAGCATTCAATTACAAACACTTGAAAGCACAATGACAGGTCTTGGCTCTCCTTGTGGAGCGTGCAAGTTCTTGAGAAGAAAGTGTGTGAGAGGCTGTGTATTTGCCCCTTACTTCTGCCACGAACAAGGAGCTTCACATTTTGCTGCAATTCATAAGGTCTTCGGCGCCAGCAATGTCTCCAAGCTCCTGATGCACCTTCCGGTCACCGATCGATCCGAGGCCGCCGTGACCATCTCCTATGAGGCCCAAGCTAGGCTCCAGGACCCTATCTATGGCTGTGTTGCTCATATCTTTGCTCTGCAACAGCAAGTGAGTATAATTAATTACTCTGCATCATACTATGTTGATCATCATCTTAATCATTTTCAGATAGTATCTATGTTGTTTCAGCTAAAGAATTATTTTCTTCGCAGGTTGTTAGTTTGCAAGCACAACTTGCTTCTTTAAAGGCTCATCAAGCAGCTCAAGGGGTTGGTAATAATAATATTATAGGCTTAACCGAAGCTTCCATAGCTCAAGAAGCTGGGAAAGCCTACAATAGATACGCATCATATCAGCAAGATGTGCAGGGATTAATTATGTCTCAGGCAATCGATGAAAGAACAAACCAACCATCAGTTTCAAATCACATGATGAACTGTGAATCTTCGTCTCAAGAAGATCTCATCTCTATGAGCGTGGAAGATGAATCATTTTGTGGAATGAGAGCTGCTTATAATTATCATGACCTGGAGGACCTTCAATCTATAGCCTTTGCCTATCTGCATCGTTCTTGATGAGTAGCAGACTTTGTTGGCAACTTGATAAGTGAATAATAATATTTTACATTCTTGAAAATCGTGCATTCTCTTTAATATGATCATTTCCTTGTACTATATACAGTTAATTAATAATAATAATAAGATTATCATTTCTTAAGCTTCTGATAAACAAAATATACAGTAGGAAAGAACAGTTGGGCATATTATTATATAATAAATTGATTGGTGCATTGTCATATGGAGGACAGTAGGGAATGGCACGCACTAAATGATTGATTAAGTTATTGGCATTGATGATTCAAGAGAAATACATAAAATAAGACAGCAATGAAATCTCGTACAGTATATGATTTTAATGATTTTTTTAACTAGTTGGCGGTTGAGATGCCACGCACTAGGTTTATTTCAGTTCTGCAGGTGAAAGTACAAAGTGTGTGATTGTAGTTCAGAGAATCTACAGATCGATGAGCAGATACGCTTGCTGACATGCACTTACTGTTTTAAAAGAGCACACTTCAGTTTTTTCAGAATATATCAATTGTTAGGTAAAATGACACCAACGCATCAAATAGAAAATCGATAAACAACATATAACAGCATTATGAAATTATGAGCAAACCCCATCGGATTTAGCTGGATTGGTGGACAAGCATGATTAGAAACCTCTCATCTTGAATTCGATTCCAAACTGTGGGGCTAGTTGCAAGTGGGCTCGTCGAGGGATTAGTCAACCTGCCAAGCACCTCTGAAGGAGACGACAGCAGGTAGATACTCCTATTCTAAAAAAAATTATGAGCAAACATGAGTGAAGAGAGAGACAATTAGTTTGGAGAAATGGTCTTTTATATGTTCTAATAATATTTAATATATATATGAGGTATGTATTTATAAGTTGAAAATGTTTTGATTTTGTGGGGGAACGTGAGAAGTAATATTTGTCTTTTAAATTTGGGTATTTGAAACGAAAATCTGAAAGGAGGAAAGATTCATCAAATATATTATCTATAATAATTTTTTTTTTTCACAATTAACTCAAGAAAAAATCTTGGCTAAGATATTCTGAGTTAGGTACAAGATGTATGTAAAGCACTTTTTTTTAATTATAAGACTACTCCTTTTTTTAATTTACGAGATAATATTTTTCATCTTGTTGAGACTTTATGTTACCTTATTTTTTGTCTTTGCAAAATAGAAAAGATCTTCTTTAAGCTCAAGTGTTTTACATCTTGATCTAAAATTAATTTATAATGTCCTAAACCAATTTATTTTACCACATAAATTCAATTATCTCATAACAAGAAAAATCGTCAACCCACAACAACAGAAAGTGTGTAAATGCACGAATTTACTCTAAATACATAGAAATAACAAAGAGAGATGAAAGCATAGATCTAACTTTGTAGATCACAATATAAAGGTTCATCAAAGTCATGCTTCATATAGATACAAAATGGTAGGATTAGATTTCATGATAAGGAGTTAGAGGAAAAACATTAGTGTTCTTCACTATGCTCATTGTGCCTATAGGTAGAGGAGGGGGAAAAACATTAGTGTTCTTCATTATGCTCATTGTGCCAACAGGAAAAATGACAAATTTTGGCGGTAATTTCCGTCAGAAAATGTGGAAAATCCGTCGAAAAAGTAACTTTCTTGCGGAATTTCAATATGTTCTGACAATAAAATGTACGTCGAAAAAAATTCTACGGTGAAAAATTTTCGCCGAAAAGATTTCTGATGGATTTTCGGTAGATACAGACGCGAAAAAATAATGTTTTCGTGTTGAATTATAGGTAGAATATTCCGCTGAAATTGCCGGCTGATCACCCCCGCCGAAAAAAAAAACTGTATAAACTTGTCATATCATCATTTCTGACGATTTTTTGTTAGAAATATGCAGCACAGCCCAAAAAAAAATCTAATCTTATCTCAATTATTGTACAACACAATATTTCTACAATCACATACAATCAAAAAAATTAAAGTAGCCTCATATTTCAACATCTGGAAAAATTTTGATTAAAAAGTAATTACGCGTTTAATCAAAAGTAAATGTTATACAATTATTAAAAATACTTCTAAGATTAAAGTCTAGTTCTTATACAATAAAAACTCAACATAAAATTTACAAACACAGATGGTTTAGTTAGAATCTATATCATCATTCTCCTCATCTTCCAATACTAATTGTTTTCCACTAAGTTCTTGTGCATTCTTTGAAGCTCCTCCAATATCTGACTTTGTTGTATCTGCATATGCATCTATATGTGGTCTTATGATTTTCGAACATGCTCAAGCTCTGTTGTAAGGGCAGCCACATGTTAGATATATAAACTCTTCTAATTATTTGTAGAGAAGTTGAAGCCACCAGAGGGCGCTGTCCCTCGTACGCGTAAGCTTGCAAGCCTAATCCATAAACTCATCTCTTCTACATTCTTCCTATCGCTTGTAGCCAAATGAGGTAGTCGGAACAATCTGCAGATCGCTCACCACATCCAAGCTGGCTCTCTTAAAGCTATATATATTGATCATATAAAAAATAACATAAGATTAAGTAATTTATGATTGACATTTAAAATATTTCTCTTAAAATTATAAACTTATATACTCATATAGGGCCTCCTCGCTCGCTCGTCCACCCACTTTAAGAATTTTTTGCGTAATTAGATGGAGGATGAGGCAGAATGCTAAAGTAGGGCCTTCTCGACAGTGAAAATTTCTGCCGAATAATTCACCGACAAACTTAAAATAGGCTAAACTTTCCACCAGAAATTTCTAGCAATAATTTTCATCAGAAATCCCTCATAAATTTTCATTACCAAATCTGCCAATATTCCCCCACTAATTCCAAAAGCTTATGATCCATAAAAAATTCCACTGAAAATAGCTGATTTTCATGTACAATATGCATATATGAAGCTTTGTAAGCTACAAACTTAAGAAACAAACAAACACACTTCTTAAAATATTTGTAAATCAAAGCTTGGATGACCACTCTCTTAAAATATTGAAAATTTCTTTAAACCATAAGTGATACTTTCCTTACAAATAGAGATGGTAAAAAACTAGCTATTAGTATTATATTTTCCTTTTTTATTTCATGACACTCTCCTTTAAGAAATACTTTGGTGATCACATAGCTCATTGAGTTAAGTTTTGTATATATTTTATTTCTTTCTCACAGCTTATCATGCTTTATTTATACTTCTTATGATTGAATGAAAAATAATATTTTTTGTCTTTATAAAATTTGTGTTATAAGATCTTGGTGTACTTCTATTTGTAAGATTGATTTGTGAATCAACACTTAAAATTTATAAGCTCGTATGACATATCTTTTGCTCTATGTATAAATATTTTTATTTATTTGCACTATCTTTTCAAACCCTAACCACTTCAACCCTCACAAAATTGAGACATATCACTTTTGTATAAAACCCTAGCATCCATTATCAATTTATTTTGATCAGTAGTCCATTCCATATAAAAATTTTAGATGTTTCTATGCGCGTATTCAATTAACCTAAAATTGCATCCATTAGTTAAGTAACATCAAAAATCTCTATAAATTGAACCATGGCCTAGTGGTTCAAACCCTACTCATCATATGTCAAGTGTTGGATTTCTCTACTCATCACATAGTTTCTCAATTTTCAGAAAAAAAAAAAAAGGTGTGGATCTCTTTGGCTTTTGTATCAAGGATTCATTCATTTAGTGAATATTTAGGGTAATCATTCTAGGTCTAAGACGATTGATATCTCTCAAGTTATCAAGTCGAATCCGATTCAAGTGGTGGAGCATCAAATACAATTTAAGTGGAATTGCCTTTGGCATAGAAATGGTCATGATTTGGTAGAGTTTGATCAAAATATAATCAAAGCAAAACAACTTTGCACTAGGAAATAGAATGAATTTAGGTCTGGTGTTTATTTGATTCAATTTTAAGTTGACATACAAGATCTAAACATCCAAGTGACACCAAGTGTTCAGTTTAATCCTTAAATTAGAGACAGACATGTAGGTGACTTTCAGAACGCACCAAATTATCTCAAGATTACTTTTCTTTCTTGGTTTACTACTTGTGGTAAATTGCCTTGTCCCTCACACCTATAGAAAGTTAGATCTCCTATTTTCTTGTAGTATTTGTGATGATGATGAAATGAGTATTTATAATTTGTTCTTCACTTCTTCTCATGCACTCTCATCTTTGAAGCACTATAGAGCTAAATTTTAAATTAAGTACTATAGAGCTAAATTGTCCCTTCTCTACATTATTGAACTGTTATAATGTTTGATGTCAAGCTTCATCAATGCCAAACTTCTCATCAACTTTTAAATATTTTCAATAAAAATAATATTTTTGTCCCTTCAAATTTTGATATGAAAGCTCTTCTTTGATACTCTATACTACGTAGAGCATTTTTATATTATTTTTAAAGCAATTTTTAACATATTCATTATATAAATAGATATTTTTAATAATTTATTGATATGATGATTCATGCAAAGATAAGAGGATGGGATAATAATATATCTTCTCATAATTTATATTAGCGATATAAATAATAGGATGTAAGAATATTTCTCTAATTTTTATATATGATGCTTTATTTTATAAAAAATTGTGTGCTTTAAAATTATTTTTTTATCAACAACTTTAAGGTTTCTTAGCTTTAGAACTTAACCAATCTACACTAGGAGTTACTCTTCAATATTTGGCATGCATTATCATTCAATAAACTTAGTCTTTACTTATCCTTAGTTATTTATCTTATTATTATTATTATAATGTCCCTGAAAAATAAGTGGTAGCTATTTATTAACCCTATAATAAATAGGGTTAGGATTTGACTTTGAGTCTCTTTCTTTACAGCTTCTAGATTGTGTTAAGAACAATACAAATTAGAAACAAGGCTGATCAAAATCTGATCCGTGTAATTTTTTCAAGTGAGATTTTAATAATTTTTGTAGGTAGGACAAGCACTAATACTCAGCCTATTCGCTATAGGAAAAACGTCATTTTCGGTGGCCATTTTTCATCGGAAAATGAATGAAATCCGTTGGTAATTTATATTTTCGAAGGAAAATTTTTTGATGGTAAATCACACGTCAGAAAACAAATACCGTCGAAAAAAATCCGCCAGATATTGCTTAGAAAAGAATTTTAAAAAATACTATTCAGCTTGAGCGGGCCCGTGAACCCGGCTGCAATCACTTGGCCTGTGAACCAGGCCCGCCATGCACTCCACTGGCACGTGAACCAAGCCAGCCTCCAAACAGCGAACCCATGAACTAGGCTTGCAAAGCGCTACACTAGCCCAAGCCAACCCGCGAACCGCGGGGCCGTAATAAATATTTTACAGAAAATTTCAAATTTCGTCAGAAATCTACTAGAAATTTCGTCGGAAATCTATTGGAAAATTAGGCGAAAAATTCGCTGGAAATATTCCTTCGGAAATCCACCTGAATATTTGATGGAATTATTTCCGCCAAAAATCAACTTTTTTCCTGTAGTGATTCGAATTTTCAAATTTATATTCAATTAATTTGTTGTGAGTTAGAGGGCAAATTTGAATAATTTCATCTCTCAAATTTGATAATGATTAACATAAACACTAATCTCAATAGTCTTATTTTGTTAAATATCGAATCAAAACAAATATTTATATTACATATTTAGTTAATTACCCTCTCTTTATTAAACTCTGCGTTGCCTTTCTTTTATGACTGAAAGCCCATCGGGCTTAGTCCAAAACATTAGGACTACGTTTGGGAAATAAGATATTACTGTTACAATTTTTGTATTAATATTATTTATAAGAAGCGAAATATGCATAAACCAAATATCATTAAAATATGATAAGCAGTAATTAGTTAATTACCTAATTGTTTCCTTCCCCATACCAAAGCAGTTTCTTGACTGAACAGTGTGGAACTGTGGATTAATAAGATATTATAGTTTATACACTAATATTGGAACTGTTTTAGACTCAGAACTTTAAGCTAATACTTAATGACAAATGGTCATTATTGTTAGTGCTATTACTTAATTAATTTAGGTTTGATTGTCTTTTTTTCATATAAATGTAAGACTAATAAATGTCTAATAATATTATACAAACTTTAAGCTAATAGTTAGTGGCAAATCCATAGTAAAAATTTATCATCTTTTTCTTCCCCGCGAAATTTTAAAGTGTTTGTATGAAAAAAAATAAAAAATTCGCTCAAGTCATTTAATTTTCCAGGTAAGAAAAAGCTGTAATTCATTTGGGGTGATCATATATAGCTTTATTGTAAAGATAATTATAAAAACTTTCATGAAAAATATATATTTTTATTATAATTATAAATATTTTTTTAATCGAACAATAATTTTGTTATAGTTATGGGTGTCAATATTTGACACGACTAAAAAATCCGACTTGACCCCAACCTGAAAATTTCGAGTTAAGGTTAGCCCGTTTGTAAAACAGGTTGGGTCAGGTTGAACAAATTGACCCGTTTCAAAAATCGGGTCGAGCTCGGGTTGACCCGGAAACTAGAAATGACCCAGCAAAAACTCCTCTGCCTGCACCTGCCAGCGTCTTTCCAAGTCGCCTGCCTACGTCGCATCGAGTCTCTTCGTTGTAGCGTCTGCCTGTAGCCTGTCACGCGTTGTTGCACCGCTGCAGGATTTGGCTGAGTAATTGCTCGAAGGGAGGGCTGGCAGCGGGATTTGGCTAAATAAGCGCATGAACAGAGGGCCGCGCGGCGGGATTTTGCTGAATAAGCATGCGAACGAAAGGCCAGTTGCGGGATTTTGCTGAATAAGCACACGAATGAAAGACCAGCGGTGGGATTTGGCTGAACAAGCGCATGAACGGATGGCCAGTGGCGTACTAATGGATTCGATCGGGTTGACCCGAATGCAAAGTGGGACGAGTTCAGGTCTGAAAAATTGACATGTTTGCAAAAACAGGCTTGGTTAGGGTCAGGTCGAATAGTGCCGGTTCAATTTCGGGTTCGACCCGAACCAAACCCATGAACCGATTTTGATAACCCTAATTATAATTATTATATTCTAGTAGATATAATTATAAAACATAATTTTTCACCACATAAATTTATGAAAAAGAAGTCGTCAAATTAAACGAATAATAATTAACAATCCACTATATGAAAATCACCCATTAAGCCGTCAAATTAACCCTAATTAAGCCGACGGGCTGGGCAGGCTACCACAGGAGCGGGTTTGCTCGGAAGCGTGGTGGTGCAAGCCCGGCCAGGCGGGCTCCTGGGGGGCAGGCGCAGGAGCGGGTGCAGGGACTTCTGGGAGGGCTCCTGCGGGCACGGGAGCGAGTTGGCTCGGGCGGGAGTGGGGTGGCGGAAAACAGGATTTTTTTATTATTTTTTTCTTTTTAACTGGCAGTTTAATTTCATCGGAATTATTTTCCGCGGGAAAAAGCCGCCGGAATTTATTTTCCTACGCGTGTTTTATCGGCGTAATTTTTTTCGCCGGAAAATGATCAATTTCTGGCCGAAAATTGCACCGTAAATGAGTGATTTTCCTGTAGTGATCTAAAAAGCGAAGTCCCGAGGAAGTTGCTCTCAATAGGCCTTTAGGGCTTATTTGTATTAGCTGCAACTCTTCGTAAATACAATAGCAAAACTACTTTGATGAAAATAACTTCTTTAAAAGTTGCTATAAATATTATATCATTTTTTAAAGTCCAACAATTATTTTTTAATAACAATCACAAGCTAAAGATATTTGATTATAAAAAATAACTTCCCATTATAATTTTTTTTTTAAATATAAAAATACTAATCCTAAAACCCTAAATGAAAATATGACATTGATCTGAAAGTCAAAACAACGAAAATCTATACCCAACAAACCCTTAATTATTGCACACTCCAATCATTTCTAATATTTCTTTCATACAACAAAGAAATATCAATTAATTAAAATCAAATAGCTTTTTTTTTTATTATTATTGTCAAAGATATCATACATTTATACTACTATATCAATGAAACACTTTTATTAAACTTGTTTCGTCATCAAGCTGTTCTAGCACTCATGAACCGGTGTCATTAGCGTAAATCACCAGTATTTAGGACCTTAATCTCTTAAGCCATACAAGTCAAAGTTTAATTACGTCGGAATCCATCCGTACAACCCCCCTACATCTCTTTTAAATCAAAGTGCTATGGTCCATGTCGGCTTTGGGCCATCAACAAGTTTCAAGAGCTTAAAAATATTTAAATAAATAAATAAAGTTAAGAGGGAACAGATGCCTTTAATTTAAGCGGCACCTAACCTATTATTATTATTTTTAAAAGGAACGATGGTTTCCATTTGAAAAATATTTTCTTACACGGTTGAAGGGGACGTGGCAACTAAAAGTCCCGGTGTGGTTACCGCGCCAATAGTTTCTTCTTAATTGTGTAATTAACTAAAAGTTAGTAATTAATCATTTGCTTAATCTAATTGGACCTTTATTATCTTTTGCTCGCCATTGTTGTTTGCTTTAGCTTTCTTTGATCGGCGGTTTTCTCTTTCAATGATGGAGAGTCAAATGCGTAGGCCTTCATGCGTTTTAAAAAGGTAAGTAAATTGCTCGTTGTAATTAACTGGTCAACAAAGTGCTTTGCCCTATGGATGGAGTCAGTCCCACATAAGTCAGAAAATAAGTTCGAAAGTGATCAATATTATTATATATTTTTAAATAAATTTATATTTACAATGCTGTACTGAATAAATTATTCTATGCGGAGACCGAACATAGAACGTCATTTTGAGACTAACAAGAATGCGCCACATCAACGGTACCGAGCAATACAAAGCCGCGATACCGAGCACAGGGTGACGTGACGCATTATGGTTGGTCTTGTTGAACTAACAGTCAAATATCAGCTTGTGTTACACAAGGGGATGCAACAAATAGATTCATTGATTCACCAAAGCAGGAAAAGAAACAAGCATACTAGTTTTGTAGTGATTGGGATAGCTATCTTCCTATTTTTAAAGCATTTTTCTGATAGAAAATTTTTAATTTTGTACTAAAAAAATTATTTTAAGAAGCAGAATTGCTCATCAATGACTGATATATTCAGATTTAAATTTGTACATCTGCAGGTTCAATGAAGAATGTAATGAAGAGTATTAGTAGCTTTTCTTATATTGTCTGTAACTTTCTCTTCTTCTTCCATTGTTATTATTCTATTGTATTTCTCAACTAAGGTTTCGTTTGGGACGGCTTTCTTAATGCTTCTTAAGGTAACTTTATAGTATAAAAAAATTATTTGTTGCATTAAAAAAGCTGTTTTAAGAAACAATAAAAAAGCCTTGTTGAGTAATTTATTTTTGGATTAGAGAGATGGAGATGTTGAGTAATTGTGCTGGAGAATTTAACATTTATGACTTAGGCTTGGTTTGAGACTGTTTTTTTACTTCTTTTTAAATCAGTTTTTTAGTACAAAAATTACTAGGAAGCTACTTTAAGAAGCAGTAAAAAAGCCGTCCCAAACTAAGGCTTCATTTGTGACGGCTTTCTTTTTGCTTCTTAAAGCAACTTTTTAGTACAAAAATTTAGAAAGTCATCCCAAACAAATCCTGAGCCTTAGTGTGAGATAAAATGAAGTTGTTAGATGGCTTTATAGCTTATTTTATTAACCTTAATTATGTAGATTTATACCACATCAAAAAGAAATAATGTGTGAGATAAAAGATATCTAAGGAACAAATTTGATAATCCTTAATTAAGTATCATGAAAGAAAATAATTTCAGGAGTTCATAATCTATGATTTTGTAAGTTTGATATAATAAATTTAATATTTTTGTTCAAAAATTTATAACTTTGATATTATCTTAAATACTTATTTCTCCTCTCCATAGAGAAAGCAAAATAAATAGAATTAGGTTTGTTAGGAAGCAATAACACATCTCTCAATATTATTTATTTTCAAATTTAAATGTGAAATATTAGAGCTTGTTGGTAAGTATAAATTTATTTAGTATTTTATAAAATAAATATTAAAAAAGTTTCTGACATATTAGAGATACACATGCACCGATCAAAATAGGCAGAAAAAAAGTGGGTGAATTACAACTATTTTTGGCAAAAAAAAAAAAAAAAGCCCATTTATGATGAGAAATAAATCTAAAATATGTATTTTCCTAGTGTCCAACTAGAATCGAAGAAATTCATTTGTTCTAAACTCTTTGGGCCAGCCAGGATCAATTTATGAGGTTATGTGAGTATATATAAATGTTTCCTCAATGATATCTCCCTATTTAACTTATTTTTTTGTAAGAATCTTGAATTGCTTTCATTGTAAAAAGCTTGAGTCTTTTGCAACACTTTTAAGGAGCGGTTTGAAAATCATTGCTTCTAGCTCGTTCCGCTAGCAGTTTAAACCGTTGATTTAAGTAGTGCTTTTTGCATGCCCTAATTCCTTTGTTTTACCACAATCTTCTCAATCGTTCTAGCTAAATTATTTGAGCGCCGCTCTTCTCCGTTTCCTGCTATCAACCGAGGGAGCGACGACCTAGATCCGAGCGTTACGTATAACATGTTATTACTGATTCAATTTGGTATTAGATATTTGAATAAAATTAGAGATGAATTTTCAACTTGTACTTTCCACAAAATATTTTGGTTAGTAATATGTTAGGATGTGATCTATAGTAATCTATAGGAATTTCTATAGTTTTTAAGCTAACAAATTGGATAGAAAAAGGGCAATAAAATTTGTCCGCATCAAAAGAAAATTTATGGGGATGATAAATGCCCTCAAATATGCTTAAAAAGATGACCACTAATATTTGTTATTGTTATGACACCAAAAGTCGTCATGATCAGGCACAAATCCGATTAAAATATAAATTAAAAACTTCCAAATTTAAATTTGGGATCGTCGAAGCTCCGATTTCAGCAAGCTTATAGTCAAATGAAACATTTGAAGGAGTTGAACTCAACGACACCAAAATCAATCCAATCCAAGCCCAAGTGAGCCATAATCAAAGGATCAAAGCCAACTTGAAAATTTTAAAGCATTAATTGGATGACTAATTGATATCCAAATATGACATGCTTATAGTTGAATCGAGGGGCTCGATGAGAAGAATCTAACGAGCCCAATGTCACTTAATTCTGACATCATTAAAGCACTCAAATGTTTAATAAACACTCTATGATCAAGGGAACTAATATCAGTCGTCTGATGAACCACTCCCAACATATCCTTGATCTTTTTCATATTTACTACCCATACAACTCATAAAAAATTATAAATAACTCAACATTCTTCACATGATGGGGGAGGAGAAGAGGAGCAATCTTAAGAACTCTCTTGCACTCTCCATCCAATGCTGCAACCACTGGAGTTCTTGCTATCTCCGACCATCATTGCCCGTTGACTACGGTCCCTCCAACCACCATCACCCATCGGCTATGATCGCTTCGACTACCATCCCTCTGACTACCGTTGCCCATTGACTATGGTCCCTTAGACAATCATTGCTCGCCGACTATTGTTCCTCTAAACATATTGTTGTCTGTAGACTACGGTCCCTTCGACAACCGTTGCCCATCAACTATGACCCTACTGACTAAAAAACAAAAATGCCAACTCTTTTTTAAAAATATTTCTCATGTTCTAATATGCTTTATAAATTGTGTATTTGCTTTATTGAGACAACGCTCCTCCGAGGAGGGACATCATTTGTAATCAATTATCAATACTAGTCGATTCATTCAAATTGGACCAGGCTTGTGATTTTTCCTCTTTTCAAGATTTTTCACATAATTATGCATCTTACTCTTTTATTTATCTGTGTATTAGATCTCCGTGAAAAGCCGAGAGGCTATATTTTATATATCTTTACGGTCTCAAATGTTTTAGGATGCAAAAGTTATATAGAGGACCTTTGATCTCAATCATTCAGAACTATATATATATATATAGTGTCATGGAAGCAATGTGTCTAATAATAATGGGAGGTTCCTTTTTGGTGTTGGTTTTGGTTGGAGATCGATTGGTTTTGGTGCACATAGCTCTCAATCATTCGGGACATTATATGTGTGCAATTTGTTCTTATTTTGTTTTTTTCCTCTTTGGGTGTTCTTCAGATTTTGCACTTTGTTTTTAGTGATTTATCTCCATTTCATCTCTTAGTGGTATCTTTGAGTTAGGTTCTCCTATTTACGGTTTGGGGGGTTGCTGGTTCTGGGTTACTGATTTATTTTGTTTGGCTTCTAGGAGGACTGCTTCTAATTTTGGTTATGTTCCAGCATCTAAGTTTATTTTTCTGATGATTATGCAGTTTCTGCTTTGGCTGTTGATTATTTCTCAGGTTTTGATAACCTCTGTGGGTTCCCATTCATTCTAGTTTTCTTTTAATCCGTTCGGTGGTCTTTGGGTTTTGCGGGTGCTTATCTCTGGTCTTTGGTGTTGGATCTTTTGGGTTGAAGATTCATAATACAGGAATTACTTTGTGTTATTCTCCTTGTGCTTTCTTTATTTTGCAGGTATTGTATTTGGTACTTGGTTGGGCCTCATCGTTGATCTGAGCTTGGGCTTTCTTTTGAGGTGATGGCTAGCTCCTTGCTTCCCTTTGCTTTTTAATTTTATGTTGTAATTAGTAGAGATTATTGGCTCCTTAGGTTTATTTTGATTTTGGATGTAGCTCTGTGAGCTTTAGAGAGCATTTGATCCTTTAAGATCTTGTAATACTTTTTTATTATAATTAACACATAGGCCATATTATGAGTTAAAAAAAAGTGTCTAATAATAAATTCGCAAAATATTGCAGCTTCGTGCAACTCTAGTTTTGGTTTCATAGTGCGAAGTAAATCCAACAGCTCTTAATTGTTTTAATGTGAATCTGTAATGAAGAATACTAAAAAATTGGCCTAGTTCTAATAAACAAATACCACATCATGAAGGCTGACTGAGAGCCTGGTGATCATCAAGTCATGAGGGTGTGATGACAATAGAATCCCACTATTTAACTAGGAATGTCAAAGGAGAACACACCAAAAAAAAAAAATCAAACATTAAGGCTTTGTTTTGGGACAGCTTTCGGCCACTTTATTTTTGTTATTTTTAATAATTTTTTTTACTAGAAAGCTGGTTTTAAAAGTAGTAAAAAAGTCATTCCAAATGAAACCTTAGTTGTCATAATAAGAACCGAGTATTAGCTATCCAACATGTATTGGTCGGTGTCATGATTTTGAATTCTTCATTTGTTCTTATCGATTGTTGTCATGAGATATTACAATTTCAAATGATAATCATTGTCAGCATCGTTGTTAGAATTATTCCTGCCATTGAAGATTAGAACCATCATGCTTTATTTGTTTTGGTTATGTTGCGGTCTAGAATATACACGGCGATAGAGTTATAGTCTTACGTCTTAGCCTTGCACTGATATCTAGTTGATCACACACAGAGAACACAAGATTTTTTACTTGGAAAATCCTAGGAAGGAGAAAAATCATGGGGCTTGGCCCAGTTGAAAAAGATTACACTAAAACTTAAGTAGGTTACAGTGGGCTAACTCGCATTCGAGGGCAATCATGTTACAAATGTCAACCGTGTGGTTGAAATCTAGCGACCAAAGAGGATAAAGGTCCAGTGCCACTTGGTGGACTGGTAGAAGTCCGGTGCTACTTTAAAGTTCAGGTGTCAGTTGGTATCTTGGCGGTGGTTTGACAGAAATTCAATGTCTGGCCATGGTCCGGTGGAAGTCCAGCACCAGATGGTGGTCCAGTGGAACTCCGGATGTCAAGTGATGGTCTGACAGAACTTCGGGCGTTAAGTGGTGGTTCGGCAGAACTCCGGGTGTCAGGTTGTGGTCCAGCGAAACTCTGGGCCTCAAGTGGTGGTCCGGCCAAGCTCAAGGCCTCAAGTGGTGGTATGGTGGAGCTCAGGGACTCATGTGGTGGTCCGACGGAGCTCGGGTCCTCATGTGGTTGTCTGGCGGACCTCAGGGCCTTAGGTGGTGGTCTAGCGGAGCTCAAGGACTCAAATGGTGGTCCGGCGGAGCTCAGGGCCTCAAGTGGTGGTCCGATGGAACAACGACGTCAAGCAGTGATCCAGTGCAACTCAAGTGGTGGTTGAGGAGGAGCAAGGAGGCAATAGCGATCTCTGATCTCTTTATTGAATCCTTTGGCTTAGGGGGGCCCTTTTTAAGAAGAAAGAGGGTTCTATTTATAGATTTCTTGGAGTGACATGGCTTGTAAATAGATGGAAGATCATGGGTAAATGGGGAGTGGTTTGTATGGCCGGCTTATGTTGAATCCCTTTTATCGTGGACAGTTCGCTAGACATTTGAAGGTCTTAATGATGTCAGAATTCCATGATATTGGGCTCGTTGGATTCGTCTCATCGAGCTGCTCGATTCACTATAAACAAGTCATATTTGGAAACCATTTGGTAATCCAAATTGTGAATCAAACCTTCCAACAGTGTTTCAGACCCTTGATTTGGACCCATTTGGGCTCGAATTGAGTCGAATTTGGTGTCGCTAGGTTCGTATTTCCGAGACATTCAATTCGACTATAAGTTCACTGAAATCGGAGTTCGGATGGTCCCAATTTTAATTTTTCGGAAGTTTCCAACTTGATTTTTACTCGAGATTCATGTCCGATCAAGATAATTTTTTTAAGGATTTTAAAATAGTCACGAAGAGTTTGAACTTATAAACTAAACTTTTTTTTTTTTGTTACCACAAAGCGTGAATGAATTAGTCTCTGGAAAGGTAGTAAGAATACATCTAGCAATCAACATAGGAAATCCATCAAATAGATAACATGATTTGCGTTTCTAAAAAGTTATAATCGAACTCATAATTATGATTTGAACCAGAAATACTCGCCTTGATGACTTCATGATTATTAGTATAGGAAATTAATATGTCAAAATTATACATGGCCTATATATACGGTGCAGTAGAAACAGAAAAAAAACTGGCTCTTGCAACCGAAATATTATAAAAGTACTTTATAATTATATATATAGTAGGAAAAATTTACTGTTAAACACTCCTGCATATATCTAAATTTTGAAATTTTTGCCCTTAAACTCTTTCGTTTCTTCTCATTTGAAGCTCTGATTCTACCTAATTCCGCCACTGTTGGGCTATCTCACCAATGGAAGAATCACACCTTTTCATCGACATCCCCACAGCCAAGAGCTGCAGATCTTGTAATTCTCCCTTTGCTGTTCTTTTCTTTGAAGATATCTGAGCAGAGAGAGCTTCTTCAACCAAAGAACTCTGTAGAGCCATAGAGTGCCCGTTGGAATAGACATGGATGAAAGCATTATTTGCATCAAGGCTTGGGCATGAGTTCCTATAAGCAAGCTGAGATAAGCCAGCGCCATAAGCCAGCTGCGCCCTTGCATGTACCAACTGGGCTTGCAGTATTGCTACCTTTAATCATGAACAGTATGTAAATACTTTCAACCAGCTCCATCAAAAATCTATATATATATATATATATATATATATGAAAATTATTTTAAAAATCAGTAAGAAAATTGTTCCAATTGAAATTTTAATTTTTTAGATATCATAAAAAAACAGATATATAACAAATGGCACAGATAGATTGACAAGCAGAAAGAAATTGCGATATCGATGAATATAGTTAGTGAATTGTGGAGTTTAGTCTTACATTAGTGAGAAGAACAATTTCATTTGTAGAGTACAAATGAATAGCTTTTTAATACATATTTAATAATATGAAATGGGCTGGTTTTCATAAACCCTTGCATTCAAACTTATTGGGATGGGCTACCATATTTAATTGCTAGTAATGGCAATTGAGGGACCTTTGACTAAAGAGCCTAGAAGATTTTGGAAATTATTTTAAATTTCTATTTTGATAAATATTATAAAGTATTAAGTAGTAAATTTTACATTTGTTATTAGCAGTATCTATTGGAGATTTGTTTTATTCAGTTTTTTAGTGAAAAGTCCTTACTACTTGGTTAGTTTCAAAGATTGAGATTTGATGATTTTGCTCATGTTGTTTCCTAACTTCTTTAACTTGGAAAAAAAAAAGAGTTCCTCAGACTGGCCTGCAATCTGATTCTCACTGAATTTGCATTAGATGAATGAGTACTAAGGGCATCTACAACAGAGAACTTCATTTTTCACGGCAAAATACAGCAAAACTTTAAAATGCCATGGTGCTGCTCCAATCGAACTCCATTTTAAGTGCTTCTGCAAGGTAACGTTCCTTCTCCCTTTCGCGTGTTTTCCGGTTGAGAGAGCAAAATAGCATAGGTGAACAGTGCAACGCTAATATTGACGTCACACTATTCATTCGCAAGTAAATGGTGGAAGATTTGACGTTCGGGTGGAGCGACCGAACGACGCCATACGCACGTTTGACGTTCGGTTGGAGATGCTAGCTGTAATAACTCCCTTTATATTTATCCACCTATTCATACTCTATCTCACCTGACTAACTCAAGTAAAACACTAGTGAGAGCAAAAATAACTTACCTGCTGCTGAAGAGCAATTATATGGGCAACGCAGCCATGCACAGGATCACTCAGCCTAGCCTGTGCTTCATAAGCAATAGTTATAGCTGCCTCGCCACGGTCGCCGTCCGGAACGTGGTGCAAAAGCTTGGACGCATTGCTAGCCCCAAAGATCCTATGGATCGCCGCAAAGGAAGCAGACGAGCTGCTCTCCGAGCAGAAGTGAGGAGCAAAAATACAGTCGGCGGTGCACTTTCGCCGGAGAAACTTGCATGCGCCGCATGGAGAGCCGGCGCCGGCCATGTTATCAGATTGTGATGGTGAGTGCAGGGGGGTGGGTTTGGCAAAGATTGGTGATTTGGCTTTTCATTTATAGTTGAGAGGGATTTGTGCGGAAGCTCATAAGTTGTTCTTATGTGAAAGTATAATTTAATTGGTGGTCATTATAATATTAATTAAAATAAGATAAATTTAGCTTGATAATCTATAAATTAACCATGCTTAATTAAGTGCTTTGGTCTAAATGTGCTAGCTAATTACTTACTTAAATTAAGTGGAAAATTCTTTATTTCTAAGACATTAATCATGAATTCGAAAAAAATTATATGGCTCTAATGTCAGCTAAAATATGTAGTAATGATTTTCTTTCTATTTTATCTTAAATAATATAAAAGGGATTAGATTTCTATCCTTCTAGAAGTAAAATTCTTAATTTTTTTATTAAACAAAGCCCAAAAACTGTGGTAAGGAGGAGCATGGAAAATCCTGTAGGGTTCTAAGGGGGCCAAGTATTAATTTTTGTGCGATAGAAGAGCTCCTTTTCCATTGTTTTTATTGAAGGTCGTTGAAGTGGTGACCAAAGACTTAATAATGGAGGATTAATGGAGGATTTAGGCAAGTAAATTACGTTTTCTGCGCCGAACGCCGCAGCTTGGTGTTTATTGTCTTCTTCCTCGCCAGTGGCTTAAAGTCACCTGGATTTTAATACTTTCTTCTTGGTGTTCATACTTTATTATTTTCTAATCCATAAGAATAATGAAGGTGGCGTGGAAGTCGTGCATGAATTTGTCGTTTTTCTTTGATGTCAAATGTTAGGTTTGTTCCAAATTTCGAGTATGTGTGTATAGAACCATTGGGAAATAATTTTTGAGAACTTTGGATCATTTTAATTGAATGAGTTTCTTTTGTCAGAATTTATAAATCAATTTCGAAGAATATTTTGGAGTCTGGAAGTATAGAAATAGTTTAGAAATTTTGTATTTAATAATTTTGAAATTAACTAATTTGACTTCTCATGTTCATCCTTTTATAATGTGAATTTGTGTTATTATATTACATCAATGAATATAAGTTGAGCCACTCTCAAGTAGTCTAGGAATTATTCTGTGCAGAGTTCGGATAACGACAATCATCTGATTTATTGAGTATACTCAATGAATACTGCACAAATATTTAGTAAATTTTTTGCTGATTATACTCATTGAATCAGACGGTTGTCCATCTAAACTCCGCACAGAATTATTTCCCAAGCAGTCAACGGTTTGTTTGACATCATTTTTTTAGTTATTATTTTTGCTTTTAAAAATTTGTGTAAGAATTTTCTTTTTATTTAAAAAAATAAATCAAATTATTATTTTTTAAAAAATTTCAAAATTAATTTTAATTGTTTTCATTTTTTTCAAAACAAGAACTATAAACCACTCAATCTCATGCATAATGTCATCTAATGCTGCACCCGCAATCGATTAATTCCATCCTCACAATATTTAGCCACCGCGCATAGATGCCAAGAAGGCAAGAACTCCATCTAGTCAACCAACACCTTTGATTGTGGGTTGTGGCACCACCACCCTCTATCAAATTGCAATATTAATTTACTTATGTTATATTGATTAAAAATAAAAAAAAAATAATTCATGTTTAAAATATCATTTTTTTTATATCAAGGGGGGTGGGCCAAAAAAAAAATTTTAAAAAAATCGGATTAGGAGGCTGATTAGTGAAATAAGTAAAAAAAAAAATTATTAGGTTTATCGGTTCATCTAATATTCACAGTCGCCCGGTTCATCTCATATTCTCATTCGCCCCTTTCACGCAGCCGCTGCTTTCGCGTTTCTTCGGGTGACGTCGTAGCTCGCATTCCTCACAACGAGGCGACCGGCGGCGGCGGCGGACAACGGTCGGAGACGGCGTGCCTTGCCTCGAAGCGACGACTCTTACTCCTTTTGCGTCGACGATCGACTTGCTCAGACGGAAGTCCCGAAATAGCTATACAGTCGTTCAGCCATGAGGTTTTTTTTTTTTTTCATTTTGCTGCTAGAAGAGTCATGAACTGCAATAGATATTAATATAGTTTATTTTATGAAACGATGGATCATGTCTTAATTTTTTGGTAGAAATAAATTATGAAAATCTGAGATATTTTTTGGGGATGTTTGGCCGGAATTTGCAAAGGAGCAAATCTATTTTATTTTGTTTAATTTTATAAGTTTTATTGTTTGTTTCTTTGCATTTATATGGTTGATTTTATAAGTTTTATTTATTGATTTTTGAATAGATATATAATCAGATTAATCTTAAGGCATTTTTGAGTTGGAATATTATGGAGAGATATTTCAAACAATCTTCAGTTCCAAAAACATCAAATGACAAAAGCAATCAGGTTAAAGATCATAAAGAAAAGTGTATTCGAGTGGAAACTAATTTACCTAACAATATAGAAGTAAGTGTTGAAAATCTTCCATCTGATCCAGGACTACGAATTCTCATTGTTGATTTTAATCCCAATATTCATGATGAAGTTCGAAGAGTATATTTACAATGAGGGTCATTTCAATCTTGTAGTTATGATTTTCCAAAAACTAAATTCGTGATGAAAACAGAAGATTTAATCCTACTTGATTTGACAAGTATTCAGATTGGCTAAAGTATAACATAAGCAAAGAAAAATCATACTGTCTTTATTATTATATGTTCGGAAAACCACGTAGAGGCAATGAAGATGAAGAAGCATTTAATATAAATGGATTTTCAAATTGAAAAAAAAAACAAATAAATTTGATCTTCATGTAGGAGGTCATAACAGTGCGCATAATAATGCTAGACAGAGTTCTGAAGATCTACTAAAATAGAGTCAACATATTGGGTTTATGTTCCAAAAGCAAACATATCAAGCTCCATCTGCATACTGTATCCGTCTCAATACTTCTGTTGATTGCATAAGATTTCTTTTGAAGCAAGAGCTAGCTTTCCGAGCTTATGATGAGTCTTCTACATCCAAAAATCAAGGTAATTTTCTAGAGCTATTGCAATTTTTGGCTGAACATAACAAAGACATAGACGATGTGGTTTTAAAGAATGCTCCTGAGAATTTAAAGTTAATTGCACTTGATATTCAAAAAAAATATTACTAGAGCATTTGCTATTGTTATTAAAAAGTTTATATCATAGGAGATTGATGATAAATTTTATTCAGTTTTAGTTGATGAATCACATGACACATCCGCTAAGGAGCAAATGGCAATCATAATTCATTTTGTTAATAAGAAATGCAATATAGTGGAACATTTTTTTGGGATTTCTCATGTATCAGATACTACTGCAAATAGTCTTAAATTGACGACTGAACAACTATTATCAACATATGGTTTGAGTATATCTAGAATATGGGGTCAATGCTATGATGATGTTAGTAATATGAGAGGGGAGTTTAATGATTTGAAAGCTCTTTTTCTGAATGAAAATCAATGTGCACATTACATTCATTATTTCTCATGTCAACTTCAATTAGCATTGGTGACTGTGGCGAAAAGTCATGTTCATATTGCTTTGTTGTTTACTAACATTTCAAGTGTAATGTTTCTTGTTGGTGTTTCTTGTGAGCGTCGCGACCAAGTTCGAGAAATACAACGTGAGAAGACATTAACTGGATCAAAAAGTGGAAATCTATTATCTGGGCAAGGCTTAAATCAAGAAATAACCCTTAGGCGTGTGCTGGTGATACGCGGTGGGGTTCACACTATGAATCAATTTTAAGATTAATTACAATGTTCTCTATAGTAATTGATATTTTGGAAAACATTTTGAAAGATTGCTTAAGCTAAGAACAAAAAGGTGACGCATATGCTTTATTAGAATCATTATAGACCTTTGAGTTTACCTTTTGACTATATCTTATGAAAGATATTTCTGGTATCACTAATGAACTATCACAAGCTTTACAGAGAGAATAACAAGATATTGTTAATGCTATGCCTTTGGGGCGTATATGTAAAAAAAGACTGCAGGATATGAGAGATAATAAGTGGACTGACTTCATCAGTAATGTAACCTCATTTTGTCTGCAATAGAAAATCAATGTTCCACATATAGATGACAAATGGGTTGCTCGTGGTCGGCCACGCCGTAGAGCTCAAGATATAACAAATATATATCATTTTCGAGTTAAATTTTTTTACACAGTACTTGATATGCAACTTCAGGAGTTGAATAATAGATTTACAGAAGTAAATACAGAACTGCTATTATGCATGGCATGTTTGAATCCTAATAATGAATTTCATGCATTCAACAAAGACAAGTTGATTCAAATGACATAGTTTTATCCAACTGATTTTAGTCTTGTTGATCGAGCGATTATTGAAAATCAATTGGATACTTATATCATGGATATGCGATCTGATTATCAATTCACCTCATTAAAAAAATGTTGGAAGTTTTGCTGAGAAAATGATCCAAAGTAGGAAGGATATAATATATCATGTTGTTTTTAAACTATTTGAATTGACATTGGTATTACCTTTTGCTACAGCATGCGTTGAAAGAACATTTTCTATCATGAATATTATTAAAAATCAGCTGCGAAATAGGATTGTCGGTCAATGGATGAATGATTTATTACTTGCTTATGTTGAAACAGAAATTTTGGATTCTATTGATAATGATGTTATCATTCAATTCTTTCAGAATATGAAGAGTAGACGTTATAAATTGTAAGTTATTTACTATCTTGTATTTGGATAATTATTAATAATTTTTTTTTAAAACTGCATATGCCGGTCCCAAGTCCGGATAAAAAAAGTTGAGGAAAATTTTTACTAAATTAATTTAGGCCCCCCCCCTTGATAAATTTTCTGACTCCGCCACTGATTTTAATGATATATTAAAGTATAAATAGAATTGAAGAAAAAGCATTAACCAAAAGGCTGTAAGATTTTATTTCTATTTTTTTCCCAAGTTAATGATTAAGGAAATAAGATTAAAATGATTGGTTTTTTACTTAGTATAGAATACTAGCACAGTAGTCGAGTTTTAAAGATACTAATAGGTCTTTTATGTATTTTAGGCAGAGTATTGAATGGAGAATATGAAGTTATGTTAATAACTGTTTCGCTTGAGATAAATTGTTATTACTGTTTTTCACTATTTAATAAACAAATTGTATTAAAAATTATTGTAAAAACAGTATAAAAAAAAAAAAAAACTGAATTTCTTAGGTATAAATTCTTTTATTTTAAAACAATATATTAAATATATATATATATTTTCCAGTCAAAAGCATTCGATTAGGATTTAAAACTTTGGATCCAACATGGAACGGTGCGCTGAAGACTTTTCTTCTCGCTTCGATGTTCGAACCCTTTTTTTTGTTTGATAAAATTTTTTTATTAGGCATAAAATAGCTTAAGAAAATATATAGTATTTTATTTAGATATAAAAGTATAAAACCTTTATTTAAATATAAAATATTAAAAATATTAAATATGCTATGTAGATGTAATATTTATTTTATCAACTAAAATATATTTTACTCAGATTTAAATGTCTTAATAAAACTTTTGAGTTTTGAGTTTTGACCCACATATTACATTTTCTTAAATATAAACCCATTTACGCAGTTATAAGAGTTTGATTTAAATATGAAGATTTTATTTTAACTATGAATTTATTTAAAAATAAAATATTATTAATTTGAGTAATTTATTATAATTTAAACAATCTAATTATGCAAAATATTTGTATTTATTTGCTTCTTTTAGATATATGCAGGCAAGAGTTTTATAAAAGATTAAGATTTAGGGACGTAGAAATTAGATCAGACGGTCCAGATTGTTTAATCTCGTCACCCTTTTTCCGCTCTCCGTCTTTCGTCTATCTCTCCATTCTCTCTCTCTCTTCCTCTTCTAGCTCTAGGGCTTTTCCACTTTTGCCTGCCAAGCGACGACCAGGTAGCTTTAGCGATCCGATTACTTGCCTCTTCTATTGGCTTTTATTCGATCGGGGGTTTCAAAATTTTCTGATATTATAATCGAATTTCTAATTTATCAAAGAACGGATTGATTATTCATATCTACTCCCCTTGCGTTGTTGGTCTCTTTTGAGAGCAAGCGAAATTAAACCAGTGGAGGAGTTGAAAGCTTATTGCTTTCGATACTGGCATCTGATAATTATGTCATTTTTGCTCTAAGAATGCTGATTAGCTTATAGTTAAACAGTACTTATGCACAAATGAAAATAGGGAACCTGCCACCACTGTTGCCTGCTTAATTCTTCTCCTTTTAATCGTATATTTCTATGTTTGTTTGATTTTTTTGCTTCCTCTTTTCTTTACTTACTTCCTTGCTGTAAGAATCCAAGGAACTTCATGCTTTTGGGCTGTTTGACTGCAAGTAGTATTTAACTAAGTATGATTTAGTAAATCATGTAAATTTCGATTCAGTAAATCTTGATGGAATTAAAACCTGAAAATCATTTGGTATGTCAACTGTTAAATATTGGTAAATCATGATTAATTCCTTCGCCATGGGTTTCAGGATTTATGATTTGTGGGAGTGAGAAATCTTTAAATTTGTTATATAATGTGAATAATTGGATTTAACCAATTTTTTATATAACAAAAAGTGAGTTGAAGTGAGATTTATTAAAACAATAGGATTTAAAGTTTACAAAAAATTTTTGGCAGCATTTGAGCTAAATCTTGCTTAAGGCCTTTCCTAAAATAGGATATGTACCAAACAACCCCTTACTCTTCTTTACTTCTTATACTTATTTACATATTGAAAATCATTTGATTGATTTACTTAAGATTTTGCATTCTATATTTGCTTTACCTACTTTTGTTCATTTACCAATGTTGTGTATTTGTCTTTATTTTATTTTTTTTTCATTATCCATGATTTGGAGTTGAAGGTAAACTTGAATTATGGAGGTCAACCCTAGAGTTTAAAGGTTTTCGTTTGAGTAGATTTAAAATTGAATATATTGAGTATAATTTTAGTAGTAATAGATCTAATGGGGGATTGTGACTTTGGGCGATCAAATCATTTATAAGAGTACACGTTTTAGATATCTTGTGTCTGTTATTCAGAGTGATGGTGAAATAGATGGGGATATTATTAGTAGAATTCAAGTTGGATGGTTGGAGTGGAGGAATGCATCAGGCTTGTTGTGTGATAGAAAATTCCCCCTCAAGTTTAAGAGAAAATTCTATAAGATGTGATTAAACTTGCAATGCTTTATGGTGCAAAATGTTGGCCATTAAAAGGGAATTAGGAAACTATAATATTAAGTTAAGTGATGCAAAGATGAGCATGCTTAGTGGATGAGCGGCTTTACTCTTAGAGACATGATACAAATTGAGCATATACATGAAAAGGTTGGAGTACTTCTAGTGGAAGATAAGATTAGAGAGAGTCGTCTTAGATGGTTTGGTCATATAAAATGACAACCTTTTGATGACGTGGTTGGAAGAGTAGATGTATTAGATTTGACTTATATTAGAAAATGTAGATGTTGGCCTAAAACGACTTGGTTAGAAAATATTAAAAAAGACCTTTATTTATTATATTTAAATGAGAATTTGACTCTTAATAGGACACAATGGAGAAAAAGGATTCATGTAGCCGACCCCACGTAGTGGGATGAAGGATTGATGTTATGTATTCATGATTTTGGATTTCTTTGAACATTTTAAAGATTTGCTGGCATAGTTTGTTATATAAAGTATTACTACTTCATTTCCTTGTCTTAATAATACTGACCCACCATAACTTTAGCTTATGAAATTATGGTTCTTTTGCAATTGCATTAATTGGTTATTTTTTTTATCAGTTAAGTTATATAAAAAGCACTATTTTTTCCATTTGAAAAGTTTACCTATTGTACTCATAGAAAGCATTCATATGAATAAAACTTGAAGTAGTTATTGAACATTTTTTTCATAAATTTATTCACTTTGTTATTTAATTTATTTTTGTTACTGAAATGCATCTTATGCCCATGTCTTCCAAGACTTGCTGATATTTTCAAGATGAAAAATTGATATCAAATTGTTTGATGGATATTCTGAATGATGGTATTCCTTAATGCAGGGCAGTCATCGGTGTTAGTTCATTCCTGAATTCTGATTTTTCTTTTCTATTTATTGCAGATGTCATCTTCAAAAGAAGTAAAGTGAGTTTTCTTGCCATCAATTATTGCTCCAAGTATATTGCCTGTGGGGTTTACTTGCGTAAAATTGTTTTCAGATATACTTCTCGATCGATTACACCTCCAGCTCAGCGCCAAAGATCGAGATCCTCATCAAGGTCTAGAGGAAGAAGTCGTTCTAGGTTGGTTCTGTTAATTTTATCTTGAATTTGTTAGAGCATTTTGTTTGCCATCGTCCAAATTGCATGTTTTTAAATGCACTGGCATTTGATTTGATTTATATCTCATCTGATTATTTCTTTACATCGTTGCAAACAGGAGCCAAGATTCTTTAGAAGCAGATAATCCTGGGAACAACCTTTATGTAACAGGTTTATCTACAAGGGTAACTAATGAAGACCTAGAAAAGTATTTTAGCAAAGAGGGAAAGGTGTGGCCCATTTAATAAATACATTATGCACATTGTTTTTGGTTTGTGATCTTGTGTATGTAACAAACATTCAAATAACATTGCTTTTCTAAGTATATGATTAGAAGAGATGCTATCATGTTACTTTTGTTGTTTCTGGAGGTCTATTTTGATAACTTTGCTTAAAATAGGATGAAGTTTGTGAGATGATTATATAAGAGGGATGATGTGAGTAGAATCCATTGAAGATAAGATAATAACAAATAAATTTAGGTGATTTGAACATCTCCAACAAAGGGTATAAAATTTGCTAATAGGATGGGTATGTAAAATTTATGTCAAATCACTAAGAATGAAATTTCGTGGATCAAACTTAATATAGATAGAAGCTGTGCAAATGTTTTATTTAGAATGGGTTGACACTTTTTGTCACACACAATAGTAATGAATGGAGAATGAGAATTCATAGAACTTACCCAAAATAGTTCAGAGAAAGGTAATTAATGATGTTGATATCCATCATCTATTAGTTAAGTTAGAATTTATTTTGTTTTCTTATATTTGTTTGATTTTTGAGTTTGATCACTAAACTAAAAAGCTACTCTTAGGCATAAAATATTATTTATTGGCTTGATAGGTTATTCTTTTACAAAATTTTCTCTCCTCTCTCTGTATCTCTCTTCTTTGTCTCCTCTTCCCTATCGTGCATATTCATCTGCATGGATGGAAGTGTTCTAGATATTTAACTAGAAATTTAAAAAGAAGGTTATTTAATTTGATAATTATTTATATGTTTTAAAATGAATTTAAAGTTTACTGATGATTTAATATTTTAAAGAAATACTCCTATGTGATGATGGATACATGAGTGAATTGGTAATTATACATAGTGCACCAACTTTTGCTCGTTTAAAGCTGTTATTTACTGTTTATAGATTATAGTTGTGGGCATCACCAAGTGATTAAGAATCTTGTATTTTACCATTTGAATCTACATACAGCTTTATGACACTTATTCTACTCTCATCTCCCTCAACATATGTATGGCCTCACTTCACATTTACGTCAAGACATGTACATGAAGATGGCAATACTTTGGTGTTGGATCAATGTAGCTTTAAATTTTATTCTTAGCTGCTTTAAATTAAAACAAGGGAGGGATATTAGGATGAGAGAACTAGGGCAATGAAGAAGAGAAAAGGGATTGAGACAATTTGTGGATACATATAAGAATTGGAAAAAATGAGAAAGAGAAAACATAGAAACAAGAACTGTGGCCTGCAGTCGGCATTTGTGTTGGGCAGGGAGCTAGGGCTCAGGATGGGGCTGGTGGTATGATAGTGGAAGAACTAGAGCAAGTAGGAAGAGAGAGGGGATGAGATGAAATTTGGTCTGGGCAGACGTAGAGGTTGGGGATGTAGATTTGTGATATGATAATAGAAAGTTGAGAAGGTGTAGATGATTGAAGAAAAATATGGAGAAGAGGACGAGATGGTTTGGCGCTATCTTCCACTATGTTATTGTTGCTCCTCATACATCCTCTAGCCATAGATTAATGTTGTCATCATTGTGCAAAGGAGAACAATAATGGTTGGAGTCGATGAAGTTGTTTATTGTCATGCGTCCTCCAATAATCCATTCTTGTCATCTACATTGTGCAAAGGAGAGCTAGAATGGCTGGAAATGGTGATGGTTGATGGTGATGAAGAAGATGTACTGCTAATGGGTATGAATTAGTGTTTTGGAAGTGTTGAATTTTTGCATTTTTTTGTCCATCATACAAGTGCTCTTAAAAACCTTTCTTTAACTATAATATTTATAATCATAAAATTTGTTTAATGCATCTTTAACGTTATTACATACAATGTAGACATTACGAAGTTGGTTTAGAGCTAGCTATTGTTGACTCTTAACTATATCCTTTGAGGCGATTGGTGCTAGTCCAATTTGAGTCCTATTCACTACGGGAAAATGTTGGCCAATCCCATGGTATTAGAGTTATATATTGGTTATAAGGGTTTTGGCTAAAATTACTGTCCAATTTTGCATTTCATGTTCATATGATTGGAGATACACGCTTACATGTTAGAGATAATCATGTTTACTATTTATGTGTTTGTGTTCTCATTTGTATATTGTTGAAATGTTGAGTGATAGGCCTGACCAAGTTGTGGATCCAAAAATTTGTGCCCCTAGCCTCTCCATGTCTTCTTTATTGATGGGATAGTTTTAACGAATTAAGTTTCAGGGTAAATTTTTAGAAGGCATATTTGATTTTAGAAGATACAGCCCAAAGATTTCACCCTCATTTTGTGATGATTTTATGATATGAGGTCTGGTTTATCATAAGTACAAACTCCTATGATTAATTACTCCTCCCGACAACAAGAGAGTATGTTCAATTAACACTATTCGTTAGATAGAGCACTTACAGCAACAACAACTTTAAGTTTTTGGAATTAGATTTTTAGAGTTTTCAAGATTTGAATTTTATCACCATATACTTAAAGCGCTTATGGGAGAATGATGATGAGCCCGATCAATATCTCATGGTTCTGTCGTCCTAGGTAGTCATGGTTTCTTGTCTACTTAGTCAGAGGAGTTAGTCGACCTAGCCTGACTAAAGGATCCTCTTAACAATCATGGTTTGCTTCGTTCAAATGTACTTGGTAGGTAGGCTTAGGGTGAATATATATTTAAGGGGACAAAAGTTGAGTTAACTCTAGATAATATAGGGCATAAGATTTTATGCCCTATCAAATATACTCTATGATTCATTACTCAAGACTTTAGAGTCATTGAGGAATATATGGTCATGTAAAATAAGATTAGAGAGAGTCGCCTTAGATGGTTTGGTCATGTAAAACGGCGGCCTTCTGAAGACTCTGTTAGGAGAGTAGATGTATTAGATTTGGTCTATGTTAAGAAAGGTAGAGGTAGACCTAAAAAGACTTGGTTATAAAATATTAGAAATGACCTTTCTTTATTAAATTTAAATGAGAATTTGACTCTGATCAGGATAATGGAGAAAAAGATTAATGTAGCCAACCCCACGTAGTGGGATAAAGGCTTGATGTTGTTGTTGTGCAAGCATCCAGCAAATATGGGTGTCTTTTCCAGGGTTTTGAGATGTTCCAAACATACGCTATCCATTTCACGCATGAAGGTCATTCCGACAACATCGCATATTGTCGCACACTTAATTTCATGTTTTCAATCGTGTTCACTCGATTCGCTTGCGAAAGGTCTCATCTGGCTAATTTTAATGTCCCGATCGCAACAACACGACCCTTTTCACAATTGAAGTTCATTTCAAGTGGGTTTTGAGTATCATCAGTGCATGTCGTATTAGCTTATGTGGCACCCCGTCAATTGATTGTCAACCTTATTGGGCGTCTTTATTTTGCTCATTGGATATATTTTATGGGTCAACAAATTCAACTAATGATTTAGCAAGTTTGTGATACAAACATAGATACTGAGTGCTTATATTTTACAATTGATTTCATTTAAAAAGGATTTGAGGCCTAATGTGAACTTTAAAGCAATTAACTTGTTCGATTTTATGATCATATGTTTGCTTATAACTTCAGGTCTTGTCAACTCCGGTCCCATCAAGGAGGATCGGATTTGAGATTTGAAATTTCACTTTTTTTTATTTTAATTTGCACCGCATTCTCAAACCTTGGACTTAGGAGTTTGATATGATTGTCGGAGCACTTTTAGGTAATTTAAAATCCTTTTAAATGATGCATGTATTTTCTTAGTGCATTTCGTATACCGCATTTGTGCTTGTCAGTGCATATGCTCATTATGCATTTATACATTACCATTACATTTGCATATGGCATTTATGTCTTTGTGTATTTGCATAATACAAACTTATATGTTCTCAGACACTGCATATTGTATTCGTGCATTTTAGTATATTTTGCATAATGCCCTTTCATGATTTTCAGTGCATATGTATTTGCATGTCACATCTTCTGATATACATGAATAATTTACTTGCACATTCTCAGTGATCTATGACGCCTCCTTTTGCAAAGGGCAGGTAGATTGTATTATTATTACTGCTTGACTATTCTCCTTATTAATATGCATTGTAAAATGCATGAAACATAGAACCAGATATAATACAGCTTGTGTTTTGGGGTGCTATGATGGGCATCAAAGTTATGTGAACAACTAATCTTTTTAATGAAATTGTAGAAGAGTGAATAATATACAATATTATTTGAGGATAAGAGCAAATTCAAGGCATTTGAGACATTACCTGATAATAGCAACTAGAAAATCTAGTCTTTCATATACTCCATTAAAAAAAAAAAAAAAATCGCCCATTGATAGACATGCAAGGTTCAAGAAAATAACAAATATTAGATTATGGCAAAGCAATGCATTAGCAATATGATCATACTTTTGAAAGTTTACCTATAACAGCATTAAAAAAACGTAGCGCAGCTAAATCATTACTAGAAGAGACAAGTGTCTAGGATCATGCAAGAAGTTTTTAGTGCTGCAATTTGTAGTGTTTGAAGGTAATTTTGCCAGCATGAAGGTGTCAAGAAGAAAATAACTGAGGTAATTGCCATTGAAAGTAATGGACATAGCGGATGTATGTGACAATTACTCAACCTATTTGATAGTTTTCAGAATTTTGGACTTAAAAGCCCACGCTAAAGTAGAGATAAAAGGAAATAAACCTAGGGGTAAATGCTGCAAATGGTGGTTTCTTGAGTAATGATTAGCTTGCCTCTATTGTGACAAAGATCTATAGATTCTAATCAAGAAAATAGGAGACTGCATACAATAACACCTCCCAGACCTCTTACTATTGATGCATTGGTGACGACCTCAGTGATGTCATCATGATTCACAAAGGCTCTTTGTCGTATGCATTCATGGGAAATATAGTTTTAAGCAAGCAAACTGATTTAGGATTACTTAGGTCTCGTTTGGGATGGCTTTCTTGCCGCTTCATAAAGCAGCTTTTTAGTATAAAAATAAAAAAATTTGTACTAAAAAGCTGCTTTAAGAACCAGCAAGAAAGCTGCCCCAAACAAAGCCTTAGTCATCTTAAGATGTGCCTAGAAATTATGTATATTTAGCATTATGCAGTCATGCTACTGTTAAATTATCATAACAAAATTCCAATTGTTGGCACTGCTAACAAGTTTGATTGAATATCTATAGTTCCTATGAACTATTTTTATTTTCTTGAATATTCAGGCAACTTTTACCATCTTTATGAATTGTGACTAAATAACATTTTACTGCAGGTTCAGGAATGCCAGGTCGTTATGGACCCTCGGACAAAAGAATCTCGTGGGTTTGCATTTGTAACTATGGAGACTGTAGAGGATGCAAACCGTTGCATCAAATATTTGAATCGATCTGTGCTAGAAGGACGCTTAATGGTCGTTGAAAAGGTGTTATATTTGCTTTCACAGGATTAGGTGTTCAGAAAAAAATGTTATTTATATTTCTCATCCATAGAAGTGTTGCCTAATTACTTTTGACATCAGGTTTGGTGTGTATAGCTCCATCGAATTCTGAAACTATGCTCTTAACAGTATGAACCACCCTCATGTCGACATGAGCACCGCATCAACATCTCAGTTACCAATTCAAATCCGACTATATTAGAGAGGATTGTATGCCCTATATTCCCTTTTTTCCCCCTCTGTCCTCATGATTAGCAGATGGTATGTTCGGCAGTATGTCCTCATTGCCAATTTAAGATGACCGTTTAATTTAACTTGATAGTTTCTTTTCACTTTGATTTCTTGCTTTACAAATTTATGTATATATTTTTTAATATTTATAGTCTAAATTGATGTAAACAGTACTAAATGTTGCCACTATCAAGCCTAAGGGCATCTCCAACCGAAAATCTCATTTTTCACTCCAAAATGCCGTGAAACTAAAAAAATACCGTGATTCAAGTCCAATTGAACTCCATTTTGCCCCCTTTTGCGAAGGTAACGGTCTTCTCTTCTTTTGCGCATTTCTTCGACAAAATCGGTAGAGAAAGAAAAATAGTGAAGATGAACAGTGCAATGCCAATATTGGCGTCCCACTGTTCACCCGCAATCAAATAGCGGAAGTTTTTTCCTTTCGGCTGGAGCTCACGAGCGATGTCATTCAAGCGTTTGGAGTTCAGTTGGAGATGCCCTAACCACAAAATAAGCAAAAAAAGGAAAAGCATCTCATATTTATTAAGCTTCTGCCAATGCAGGATTTGGGTTTGAGGGTTGATGAGTACGACCTTATCCCTACATTCCTAAAAAGGTTATTTTTATGATTCGATCTCTGGTTTACATTAGAGCCAACTTAATCAATACTGCAGACCTGCCTCTCTTAACCACAAACAAGTACCTTGCTTAAATTGACTGATAGTCTTATCCATGTTAGAGTCAAGTGATTACTAGTTTGTAAGAGTTAAAACGATGGTGACCAGTATTACGAAGATAAGTTATAATGAAATTACAATTTTGAAGCTCTGTTCTGAATTTGTATGTGTTAGATTGTCTTCTATATCATCTCTATTGAGCATCTTCTGTGGCAGGCAAAAAGACGTCGTGGGAGGACACCTACTCCTGGAAAATACCGTGGTGCAAGGGAAAGAAGTGGTGCAAGGGAAAGAAGAGGTGCGCCATGGAATAGTTTGAATTTTTATAACTTTGGTTGCACCATAATGCTAGTTAAGATAAATATTCATCTAACCTCTTTTAATCTGTTGTTGCCAATATTTTGAATTTGTTTTCAAGATTAAAATGTTTTTCTTATGTATTTTCTCATGATACAGCATTCCACTTTTAGCTCATATGTCACTGATGCTTAGCCTTTTTTAACATAGCTTCAATTTTTTTATTTCTAATTTGCATTTGTTGAAATAATCATGAATACATGGTCTACTATCTTTCTATCTACAATAATCCAACAATATGTGGATAATATAGCTTTCCATTCATAATAATCCAACAATTTTGGACAACTTTTCATCTATGGTAGTCCAACAGCCTATGGGCAGTAACTTATGTATGTTTGTCATTAATTTTAGATTAAAAAGTTAAAAGAGTGTTTTATAGATTTATTTCTCCATCTATATGTTCAAAATTTCTTATCATTTTTTTTTTTTGGATATACATTTCAACCATAAAATCTCCCATTTTTAAGCCCTATCTTTTCATTCTATATTTCAAAATTATATAAGAGAGATTAAGATTCTATTCTTTTTGAGGCCTACAATTTCTTTATCATGGAGTCTTTCCAAGCTGATGACAACTTTAACACTAGAAATCAATTTAAAAACCCTAAACCCAGATCGAAATATGAAAAAATTATGATGAGATATTGGACTAAAATATAGTAAATAGAATCAACTACAAAGATAAATTTTAGTAATTCTCTCCTTTTGCTTTGGCCATTTGGACTACAAATCGAAGACAGTCGACGGTCGACGGTCTGTTCCAGATGAATCACAATAAAAAATGGTCAGAATAGGTTTGATCATTCTCACAAAAGATCTTACACTTAACTATTTCCTTATAGTGCCTAAACTAGATAAAAATTGTGCTACCAATTTCTCTTCCAACCTATGTCACTTTCATGATTTAAATTTGATAAAAATGATTGACAGTACAGAGATATATTCATGGCTCTACCCTTTTAAGAAGATCCCTCAAGTGAGGTACGAGCTCAATAAACAGGTTTTGTTCTACCCTTTTAAGATTAGATTGGTGGTTGTTTTGAAGGGGTGGAGCACTCCCTTACTAAAGAAGAAAAATACATATATAGGTCACGTTTACAGAAATGAAATAATTTAAGCAAAAAATTATATAGAAAGCATTATTTCTTTACACGAGCTGCTGTTCAATCGAAATTTCCATACAACTAACTCAATATTGTCTTGTCAAAATAGTTTTCTAAATATTTAAGTTTTCTCAATGCAGCTCATCACTGCTTTTGTTCCTGCAGTTCGCCGGCGGAAACTATCCCGGAGCTGCTCGCCATCTAAGCCACCTCGTTGTCGTGGACATTCACATTCAAGGGAGAGATGTCAACGGGAACGATCCCGCTCACCGCGTGGGATAGAAGCTCGTAGAAGGCTTAGAGAGAGATCAATGTCAGCTGGAAGTGATCGCCAGCCTGATTAGGTTGTTAAGTCCAACTGCAGATTGTATTCACCCATAAAGACTGAACATTGCTATATTTCTGATTATAGATTGATCTGAAATTAGCTTGTGATTTAGGAGGATGGAACATATATTCTCCTCAGTTGGCTATCCACATCTGTAAGGCCATTTTATTCTATTCTGTCGTACTTATGTTGTTGTAATACCACAGCGGCTAATCAGATGAAATATTTGAACTTTTAGTCTGTGACATTGTATTCTGAATTATTAAATGGATTGCCACTTGATCAAGTATTAGTTTGTCATCTGAAGTTGAGAACAATGTGAATTATCATTTTACCATTGAAAACAGAAGCAAACAGTTGGGATAGCTTCGTTTGTGATAGATTTTTTATTGTTTTTTAAAACATCTTTTTAATAAAAAATGAATTTTATTATACTAAAAAGCTGCTTTATGAAGAAGTAGTAAGAAAGCCATCTCAAACAAAGTTTAGATGGGATAAAAAACAAAAGCAGAAATAGTGTGAAGATCAAAAACTAAAGATACTTCATGGAGCACTTTGCAAACAGAAAACATTAACAGGTACATCCTACGTAAGAGCTCGTCAATGATGATTTAAACATCATCATCAAAGATTAGCATTAGCGTCAGCAACAACAGTAGATATAGAAGCAGTGCGATCCGGTGACTGATGAGACGAGTTATCGGCGTTCTGCTTAGATGCAGATTCGAGGAATAGGATTCTCGCCCTCACCTTCTCAATCACCTTCTTTAATTCAGCGAGCTCTTCTATTTTTGAGATCCTTTGTTGCTCCTGATTTGTGTCGGGCCGGCGGAGAGGGTTTCGGCTCCGATAATGGTTGACGATGAAGTCGGTGGAAGTCTTTGGCGGCAAGACGACGAGGAAGGCGCCCACGCCGTGGAGAGCAGAGAGCCGACGAACCTTCTTCTGAAATTCCTTCTTGCTTTCGATCCTACACTTTGCAGGGCCCATAGTTACAAGAATTAAGAAGTAGAGAGGACAGGAGAATCGAAAATGAAGAGGAAGGGGAATTGATAATGAAGAGGATGTTAGATCCTTTTATAGAGAAGCTATGACTTATTTTTGGAAAGTCGAGATCGGCAGCAGGCAACGTGTGCGTCTCTGTATCAGGACATCTCACATCCGACCATTAGAATAATTTCTCTGATGAAATTCAAAATTCAAATTTTAGTACTTATTGAACGGTAATAAAGCTCAACGGTAACCAAGTTAACACAAGAAAGGGCAAAATTTTAAACTAATTATGTTTAAAATACTTATTATGTAAATGGGTACTCTTTTTGAATCAGTCAAAGCCGAATATATCTGGCGATGAGGTGCTAGAAAGATTGAGCGACTTGGTATGTTTCATTTTTAAAATATATATATCTTATCGAATGGAAGAGCAGATGGAGTTATACATACGATTAGCCATGGAGGATAGCGGCTTTCACCTACCAACCTCGATGGGTAATAATATATATAACCCAAAAGTTCACGAGATTTCCCCCATTCGATGCATCAGCTCGAATGTAGTTTATTTGATTGTGGGGATCGGTTTCCTATGGGCGCAAGCCCCCGTAGTTAATTACAACTTAGACATCGATCTAAGAAAACTCTCGATTAAGAATGTGAGATTATCTTCTTGAATGAGTTTAATGCAAAGGAATTTCTAGGCTTTCCTAATCAAAGGGTGAGATGGGCTCAATTTGGTTCAAATCATCCTATGTTTGAGCTAGATCTATAGGATTTAGTTGATTTAAATTTGTGAAGATAAAAAATTGTCTAGAATAATACTTTGTGTAGATGATTTGAGAGTCGAATGATTTAGTTGATTTAAAAATGTTTAGAATAAGCTATTTATATTATTTGTTTCAATTTGTGTGCTGAATTTTGTTTTCAAAAATTTTTTCTAAATGTACTAAACTTAACACTTTATAGTTAGATTTCAACGACTCTAGGTTTTTTAGTAATTGTGAAATTGTATTAAAAAATTTGTCATATGTTTTAAGAATGTTAAGTTAATATTTAATTAAGTATAAACTTTTAATATGTTTATTACAAGTATGTTAGCTGCAAGTTTTGGAAAACTTTAATTGCGAAAAATTGCTTGCTTGAGTATTATTTCAACATGTGCTATGGAAATATTCATAGTTTAATTTAGTTGTTATTTTTAGGATATTATAATGTGTATATTGAAATTGGCAAATTTTGGAGGCGATAATCCTCATATATAACTTGTTAGATTGTCGACTTAATTTATTATTAGTTTAATGTTGCATGTTTGTTTAACTTTAGTGTTTTACTCTCCCTCAAATTTGCTTGATTAATTCGTAGAGCTTTATATTTGATAACTATTTGATATGTTTCTAGAAGTTTGGTTTTGAAAATGTGTGGATGATCACCATCATTTGTACTCATGTATGATGGATAATTATTTCAGGATGATAAATTTGCCCCTGTGTATATTGATTGCAAAACACTTCTAATTAATTAATGTGAAGTGTTTTGCTTTTCCTTGCTCTTTTTGAAATTCTTCATTTTTGTAATTCATCATTTTAAAATTATTTATTAATCTAGAGTAATGACCAACATTTTTTTTTTCTGGATACATAAAAAACATCAATGGTTCGTTTTTCCCTTTTCTCCTCTCTCGCGATTCACGACTCACGACCTCAAGCACGGCTTTCATTTTTCCTTTCGCTCCTCTCTCGCCCTCAAACAAAGACTGTGTGTGGCAAATGTTTATGTTTTTTAAGTTCTCAGGGTCATGTTATTTTCATTTTTTATTTTGATCTTGCAGCTCCTCTTGGCTTCAATAATGAGACAACAAAGGAAACTATTTTAATATATTCTAACATTCCAAATTAGAGGACAAACATAACTATTTTAATTTAGGCCCCCTCTGAACAAAATTTCTGACTCCGCCACTGAAGGCAAGGGTTCTTAGAGCGCTATAAGTATGATATGTCCATGTTCACAATTAACGTTGTGCGTCATTTGCTAGTTGGAAATTATTTCATTTCTTCGTCAGTTGAGGATGATGAAGCATGTGAAGTTGTTTTAACCCCTAACTATTGGAGAAGTTTTTCTTTTTTATGTGGAAGTTGAAGAGATTACAAGGGGATAGTAATTGTGATGAAATTGTTTCATCTCAAATTCGTGATTCTGTCACTTGCTCGTGGCAGTGGGACGCATGAGGATGGGTATAGCCAAGTACTTGTGCAAGATACAAACATTCGATAAATTGAACATTGAACACATTAATAATTTGGTGATCTACATTTAATTTTGTTAGTGTTATTTATCTGAATATATGTTGGTATGATGCAAATTTGTGGAAAGAGGATGTGGAGTTAATGTAGCTGGTCCTATGCATCTCTAGGCTACTTATTTTTCTAGGGCTAATGAGTCTAGAGCTTGTGATACTGTAGTTGATGAATAATATGAGATAATGAGTAGTGGATCCAACGAAGAAGTTTCTAAAGATTTGGATGATGTGGTAGATGATCTGAATGCTCGAAGTGACCTTAATTATAATGACATAAATGAAGTTATTCGTGATTGATGCGATAGTACAGTTGATATAGATGGTAATGGTAGAGAACAATTAGTGCATAAAAACTGGTAGGACTACTCATCAATGGAATGTGGAGAATGCTTCTAACTATGAAAATTTTTTTAGTCTATCAAATGAGGAACATGTAATTCCAATTGAATTGGTTGAAGGTTTGTGCTTTAGACATAAATAAAATCTCTAGTTTGTTGTACATTGGTGGTCCATCAGGAACAATGTTCAGTTTGTAGTTGTTGCTTTGAATAAATAAATTTTCACAATTGTTCATCTACAACACTATAGCTCTGCTGAGAGATATCCTTGGTGTTTGCATGCAAGGTTGAGCAAACGATTGGGTAGCATCTATAAAATTTCCTCCATTAGGCTACAACATACATATAGCAATCCCATTCTTGTGGATGGTCATAGGTAGTGTAACTCATAATTCATTAGCTTCTACTTGCTGACTACCATAAGAAAACAGACGAACATTAAACCAACATAAATTATAGGGAGAATTGAAGTAAATTTTAACATCACGTTATCTTATAATATAAAAGCTTGGAATGCAAGATGAAAAAGTTATTAAGGCTATATTTTGAAGTTGGCAGGAGTCATATAGAACAATTAATTTGTTCATGGAAGGAATTGTTGCAGCAATGTTGGGTATTATTCACAAGATCAAATCCTATGATTCACATAGGTTTCAACATATTTTTTTGGGCTTTCGGGCCATGTATATTTGGTTGGAGCTTTTGTCGGCCTGTGCTCAACCTCGATGGGACATTCTTATTAGGTAAATACAGTGGGGCTTTGCTTATTGCAATATGTTTGAATGTTAATAACAACCTTTTTCCATTAGCATTTGCTATAGTTGATTCAGAGTACAATGAATCTTGGATACGGTTTCTTAGAACCCTTAATGATTTGCTCCCATCCGTTAGAAGCAAATTAAATCTTCTATCATCTCAGATCGGCATGCTGATCTCATAGGTGGATGTAGGGAAATTTTTCCCAATGCCGCACACCTGCATTGTTTAAGACACTTGCGTGAGATTTTTTTTATAAAAATTGTACGACAAATGGGAGTTTATGATGTCGATTTTGTTTGTCATAAGATGTACATGACTGGTAACACATATGATCTGAACTTGTTCAACGAATGCATGGTTGATATTATCAACATAAAATCTAAACTACATCAATGGTTAGTAGATAGAAATGGGAACAAGTGGGCATTGACACATGATGGTGGGGATAGATATAGAGTACTGACTACTAATGCTTCTGATTCCTTCATCGGAGTATTAAAAAGAGCATGGGGTTTACTATTCAAGCGCTAGTTACATCGATTCATTACAGCATTGTTGGGATGCTCATTCGACGAAACAAAATGATCAACATTGGTGAACAAGAATACGAAAACATATTGGCCCCTCGAGCATAAGCAAGAATATAAAGATTCGAAATAGATGCTTTTTCAACAACGTTTGAACTCCCAACTTCCCTTTCATGGCATACCTCACGAAAATGCTCTTGAAGAAAATAAGCACCAACAAGGTGGCGATCTTGCTCGCAAAACATATATTCCACATATTTCCATCATGTAGCATTTAGAAACTTTTCAGTTCTATTAGCATGTACCTTCATCTCCTTTGCATGCAAATATCAAAGTACATTATCCCTGACTTTCATCTATACATTCATGCAAC